TGTGATGATCTTCTCTTTGATGTACAGTTTGAGTAATGTCTGTAATGTTGTTACGCTCGGGTTCAAACTGAAACGACTGAACAGAGATGTCTCAGCACTCGATGTCGCCGGTCAGATGGTGTTTCAGTGTAAACAACAAACGCTGCTCACAAGTTAAAGGATTTTATGTTTCTAAACTGACACAAAGTAAGACAACTGTTTGTTTTCTAAAAAGCATCAGATTCTAATTGCTGAAGTTAAAGTTAATCTGCAGGACAACCTTTACAATCTCTTACTCAAATCATGTCCTGTCACGATAGTATTCATGTCATTAACCTGCATTCAGTAAACGTGACGTCTGAACTTGACAGTAAGGTGCAAAACGTCTGTGCGGTACCATTTCGACAATCCTTGGTTGCCTTTTTTCTCGCGTTATCGTGTTCACAGATGCCCGCCCACTCTCCGTGACAACAACCCCCCCGTCAGCCTTCAGACTGAAGCGTAAAAAGCTGCACATGCATTCAGACTCAGAGTTCCTTTGAAGGGATGTGACCAATCAGATTTCACAATGCAAATACCGATCTCTCCTTTTCATCACGAAGATGATTGTGGCAAATATTTGTTTCCTTCGACACTGTCAGAAAAAATACGTTTCCAAGAATGAGCACGCAGACGAGCCAGTACCTCAGACGCCTTTACTTTGTGGTTGTTGTTATAATTCCTTTTAAGGTGTCTTGGTTTAATCTCAGCCTGCATGAGGATTATTCCTTTCACAATGACCTTTTATTAAAGCCTACAAGAAGAAAGTATGAAATGCTAAAAATCTAACTTTATTTATTTTGTTTTCTGGCGCGTTGTTGTGTCGATATTCACAGCAAAGATATTATCGTTAACATTCACGCAGCAGAATTTAGTTCAGGTTTCACTGAGCAGATTCTTATTTCTACTTGGATTAAGTGATTCTGTGATGTAGTCACTGCAGATGCGTTTCTTTGTTGATCGGAGGAAAGACAAAGTGCGTAACCAGAGCGCTGCAGGTTTAATTAAGCACCCCTTTATTTAGCAGAATACCTCAACCACTTCATCTCTTTTATCCACCCGGGTGTTTGGAATTAAATCACCTCACTGCCAGCCTTTCACACGATTAACTTTGTGGCCTAAAATTCAAATAAATATGTCAGAGCCTCTGTGGCTCTCTAGAACTGAAGGTTTGCACCTGTCTGACTGATGAATATGTGAGAAAATGGGTTACAGCACCACCAGTTTGTTATAGCAGTCAGAGTGACGGAGGAATGCAGCGATCCCGTCATGAATCAGCTTATAAATAGATTATTTCTTCCATTGTGTGCTGAAATTCTTCAACCGCTGCTGTAATAAAAGAAGGAAAAATATGCCTCCTTTCTGGGCATTACCTATAATATTCTCTTTAGTTTACACTGGTGCAATCAGTGCAGTTTAATTGTTTTTATATAATTCACAGTAAGAGATGCCTCAAGGTGCTTTACATTGCAAAGTAAAGAGTCTACGATATTACAGAGACAACTCTAACTAATGATCCGACATGAAAGAAGGCAGGTTGGGATATTTGCTTGATCTGTGTGTTAAGGGGTTTCTCACAGGTACAGGCCCGTGGTCTGAATAATCTTAACAGTGATAAGTTGATGATATTTAAAATCAAAGCATTATTTAATGCTGAGACTTGTAGGGAGAGGGTCTAATGGACATGTTGGATGAAGGTGGAGAGAATCGAGCAGTGACATATCTGTGACATGTGTGGGGAAGCTATGATTTCTTTTTCTCTAATGTTTCACATTAAATTTTAAAGAAATTCATGGAGAAATCCAGGGCTCAGAGGTTAATCCTGTTTTCCTCCGTCGATGACGCATTATAAGATGTCTCGGCTTCACAGTGGGCTTCTTTGATACAGTAAGAAACTACGTAAAACGCCGTTTCCAGTTCACGTGTTACCTTTGTGAATTCTATCAGAGAGACAAACCTGTCTGATTGATTGCTTTAAGCCTGCAGCACCACTAACTAACACACTTCACTGTGGAAGCAAAGCATGGAGTACGAGTAGCTGGTCATATGTTACTGAAGGCAATAATTATTTAAATTTTGCTAGAGTACTTTTAGATTGATGTCCCCAGTGTTGTGTGGTCCGGTGTTCTAAATTTAAACGCTGTTAAGAAAAGGAGGATCTATTAAGTGTTCAGTTTCTCCATGCACCATATATCAGGACTGAGAGTGTGATTAAAGCGATGAGTGGATCTATTAACATTTTAAGAGAAGTCATTTGAGTCTCATTATGACTTAGGTGCAGTGTTGAGGCTTTATAGGTGTTAGCAGGGCCTGCAGTGGTGGTGTCGGGTTCTTTCTCCAGCTTCAGGTGCCACCCTTTTGTACACCATCCTGACAACACCTGAAATGAACAGGGTTCATGATGCTGGGTGGCTGGGCTTGTAATACACTTATGGTTTACACCAGTTTACACTGTTATGAAGGGTTAAATTAGCTGTGGAGACATAAAACCTGTGAACATGTTGATTTCTGCAGTAAAGCTACAAATCAAGGGAGTGCAGTCTCCACCTTTCTCAGTGGCTTTATTTTTCAAATCCATATGCCTTATGGTTATATACTCGTATTGTTTTCTTCAGCTTGTAGCCATTGTGGAGTTTTGAAAGCAGGAGTAAACTGTCCATTTGTTGGGAACTATTTTCAGCTTGAATTGGTGCAAATCTGGTGTTGCAAATGCACCTGCATGATCCCATTCTTTAGAGGAGATTCTGAAAAGTTGTTATTGCTATTTATATGCCATTAGCATCGGCCCTGTGCTATATGCTGAGACAATCTGGTTCTCTTGTGGACCTCACAATGTCTTTGGCTGCAAATGTCCTTAAAACTACACTCGCTGCCAGCGTGAGCCAGCAGCTGCACGGAGCTTGCTTTAAGTGAAAAAAGCTGCTCACCATCCAGTGTTGAACTCCACGTGTGCGTCGAACAAAGCGACAACAGGGGCAGAAGCTGCCCTCCAGCCGCTCACTCTGGACCTGATCAGTCCTTCCTGCTTATCATGGCGGACCACCTTGATGAACCCCGGGCCGTGCTGAGCATTGGTCTCATCCACAAAGTTCTGCAGATGCTCCTTTAGCTCCACTGGAGAGAGAGACACACACACTGATTTAAGCATATTGTTAGCAGAAGTAGGATCTCTGACATCTGTTGTGTGACTGATCTAATCGACAATACTCCACAAAAGCTCACACATGCTGTATTGACATAATTCCACATGCTAGGAAAGGCAGTGCAGGAAGACACCGGCTGAGTTAAACTGATGAGCAGCAGGAAGGAAGCGCTGCTGAGAACACCGTCTTGAATATGGCCGAACCATTAGGTCTAATTGTATAAGACGGAAAGAACAATGAGACGACACTGTCAGTGGCTGAGATGCACTTTTCAGGTGTGGACAAATATGTGCACATACTGGTTTTGGACAAGGATTGTTTCGTCATAGTTCGGACTTTGTTCTCTTTATAATTCAGAATAAAAATAAAGAGACAAAGTACCAAACAAATGTTTGTTTGTTCTGGAGAAAACACTGATGACATCATGGCCAACCCAACTGATGGCTCCTTATGCTGGGACCAGTAAAAAGTATATCAGTCATGCCAACTGCAATCACAACTTTACATGGATATTAACCTGACTGTGAAAAAAACCCTTCACTAACCTGTAGTGCCTTTTTTTAAAGGCCAGTATTTTCAGATTAGAGGTATTTGATGTTACTAGAAGAACACAGGGAGTTGTTAGTATGCAAAACAGCAGGATGGTGATGATGTTGGAGCTCAGTCCAAGCATTTCATTTGCGCCTAAAGTTATAAAATTGAGACTTGAGTATTTCTCAAGGAAAAAGATGAGAACAAAAAGAAATGATGATATTTCGTCACAGGTGTAGTTTATGGTCGGAGAGTGGAGCCTCTCCTATCTGAAATATTTACAGCAGCTGTGACCGAGACAGTCGATCCTGGTGGTGTGGCTGAGTTTCTGGAGTTGACAATGGCTGCTGATCCAAACGCACCTCAAATGTAGTCCAGTAGCAAGTATAGCAGCACCCTTGATGTGCATCTTGCAAGCCTACCATCTTTGAATGAGGTGATTTTTAGACAATCGCATGCTTGTAACTCTGTGGCAATAATCTGAAGAAACAAAAGGCCTCTGTGCAATAGGGAAATAGTTACCTCAGTTTTGCACAGAAGGAACAATCCAACATTTTTCTTTAGAAGAACTGACGGCTAGCCAGGCCTGACTATTCAACATCAGAGTTGGACCTCAAAAACCTTCTGGTCCTGTAGCCTATAAGAATATCATTTTTCGTCTGGGTCTCTTTAATGACGTTTCTGCTGTTTATGGACTCAGTCAGTCACTCTGGATCTTACTGAAAAATAAATTCGTTGTATTTTATGATTCTTGGTCTGACTGTGTTTCTAGGTCGAGGGCTATCCATCGTGCGTTCACTGTGATCGGTAAGTGAGTTAAGGCTCTTTCACATTATGTTCACTTTTCCAGCCCTGGAGCCATTTTCATTTTTTCTTGCCTCCCTTTTTCTTCCTGAGTGACTTCACACAGATCTTGATTCACACAGACAGAAACATGCACAGAATATTTACGGCACACGTATATGCCATCTGCCCGCAGTGGAACAGCAGACATCTTCATTTCCTGGTTGTGATTTTTCTGTGTTGTAATCCTGCCTGGAGGCTACGGCTGCTGCTTTTCTTTTTCTATTCATTATTACCATCAGCCTGGATTCTCTAGTCTCTCTGTTTCTTTTTAATGAGCCACAGTTTGCTGCTGACCTGGAAGAAAGATGGGCTCATTTACAACAGGAGTTGGGAGGATCTGAAAAGCACCTTACTGTGTTATATGTACATATGCGATGACTTCTAAGCACTCAAAAAAAAAGGAAAAAAAATGAAATCATTAAATCAAGCCCACCAAGCCCAATTAGCCCGGCCCACACCATGCAACCTGTTTTCATATAAAATATAGCCAAGTGAAGAGGAAGAGCCCTGATTTACTTTACACTGTTCAATAAAAACAATTATGTGATTGAACTGAGAATTTTGAGATCAAAATGAATGATGGATTGATGATCGCCCAACAGAAAATCAATCAACATGTGTTTATATTCAAGACTATACAATATCACAAAGAGAAAGAAAAAAGGTTTTGACTGAACAGCAGAAAAAGCTGTAATATTTAGAATGATGTGGCTTATAAATGTTGGATGATAATTATATAGACAGTTTAACCTGATCCTAAATTACTGTTGACTAATTTAATTATATACTTACTAAATCAACTCATCCCATCAGTTCCCACGAGTCTAATGCTCATCCAGTCTCTTTTCTTTCCAAGCTCCTTTGAACGCTCATTGTAAGGAAAATTATGTTTCAGTCAGGACCCTTTCATTGGAGGGGGGTTGCAAAGCAGCTTGAACAAGTGCAGCAACTTTCCATGAGCTTTGCCAGTTGGACGTGTAGCGTATCAGCTGATGTAAGCTGGCAGTGAAATCAGATCATCTGTGGCTGATTTGTGGTTTGCTAACATTATATTTGAATAATATAAGATTAATGAAGATTAATCTTAATCTTCTTAAAGTCCGATTAACAAAAACACTTCTTATGTCAAAAACATTTTTTTTAATGTATTAGATGTGCAAGGCCAGTATGTTTAGGAGATCACTGTCGTACTTCTGCAGAGTGCATTACATACCAACCACTGTGTATGATGCTGGATTGAGGACACAAATGCGAGCCATGCCGTGGATAGGCGAGAGCATCAAAAGTTGCGTCTGGAATCTGTTCAAGCCACTCTCCTGGTTTCATGGTTATAGATCGGAAAGCTCCTGTTACCACCAAGACCACTTTGGACTCGTCCAGATCTCCTCGAGTTGTTTCTTCAGCCTCTGGTAGTTCTTGATTTTTTCGTTCCCCTTCTTCCTGCTGTTCCTGTCACATCTATCAGAACTGCAGTCTTCTGTTCCTTGTCAGCCACCACGTCTTGCTGATTAGCCAGCAGCTGCTTGTCCTTTTTAGAAATCACAGTTCCACAAGATGTTGTCGTTTCTCCACATTCAACCACTGTGTTGTCCCCCTCGGCTTACACAGTCTCAGATTGCAGCTTATATTCTTCATTTATTCTAAATGGGGGACCTGTGCATAGTCTGCAACTTACATCCTGTCAGCTGTGGTAGACTCCTGCCTCTATGGACCTGCGTATTCGGTCCTGTTGTGGTGCTGCCATGATCTGTCCTTTAAGCCAGCCTTTTCTAGACACTGGTTGTCATGGTCCGGTGTGTGCCAGGGTGTCTCCCTCCCAGTCGGCATCTCCACCCCTGGGAGGGGCCTCAGTGTTCTGCTGATTGCTCGCACCTGTGGGTAATTAAGCCGGGGACTCATAAAGCCAGCGCACTCAACCTCTCTTCGCCAGATTCTCAGCTAACCCTACCACGCACCAAGTTGCCAGATACAAATCTCCGCCGAAGAGCTCCGATCCGGACGCTGGACCACCTGACAGTCCCACGGGCTGTTCACCCGACTCACCTGCCTGCCTCAACGCCAGGAATTTCGGACCACTTACCCGGACCACCCACCCCTCCACGCCACTACAGACCACCCGCGGCAATGACTCTGACCCTAACCCCGGACCCAGTTTGACTCTCCCTCAAGCCCAATCCCCGGAACTGCTGTTTCCACTGACCAACACCAGATTGCTTACTTAGCCCAGGCTGCTTAAAACCCCTTTGGTTTAGTTGTGGCATTTTTCACTTGTTAAACGCACATTCCAGTTTCCTGTTTATGAACACTTACTGAGAAAATAAACGTTGTCTCTAAGACTACTTACGTGCTGTTCGGCGTCCAGCATTTCAGTCCTTTCTCTTTTGAGGCGGCCTCGGCCGTGACAGTGGTAGGATTTCTGGATGCCAGTCATTTCCTCTGTCTGTCGATGGTACATCTCATATGGATACTTAGTTGTCCATGATCGTTGTCCTGTCCCTCATCACCATCTGTCTTCAGCTGCCTGGGGGATTCTTGGAGTAGCTCATCTCAGGGGGCAATCTTCCTGACGTATTTGCGGATGCTAAACGATCAGCGAGTCGATGTCTCGCTCATTCATGGCATACAGCTTGATGTCATCCATGCACCGGAGGTGACTGATGGTCACTCCACTCCATAATCTATATTCACATCTACTTTTAGTGTTGAGCTGAGCGATATGCAGAGCAGCAGCAGGAACAGTCATCATCTTTGTGTAGTCTGCACTCGTGTGTTAAAAGTTGGCCTCCAGTCACTTCTAGACAAATGTCATCAGTGCAGTGAAAAGCACTCCAGTAACCATGTGTGGAGCATTGACTTACAGGCTTTCCTGTGGTCAATCCAGACAGTTCTCATGTCTGCCCGATCGTAGAGTTCTGGTGTACTGCTCTATCAATCAGGAGCTGGCCCTCTGGTATAATTTTACTCCATTTATGCCTTTTATACTGTATTTCCATGTATGTTCATATGTTTCAATGCATTATTGCACCTATTTCCCAGTTTTCCAAGCAAAACACAAAGAAGGATGGCTGAAGACTTTTTCCCAGCACTGTATTTATAATGGAATTCATATAAAGCTTTCAAAAAGATTCAAAGTATTGTCATTGTGCCATTAATGGAGGTTTGCATGGCTCAGTGATCTTTGATAAGCCCCCTGAAGTGATATGAACACAGCCTCTCAAGTCTAATTTAGTATTCTGGTGGCAACACTTAGCGAGCGTGCCTGCATTTCCACTTTTGCCTTCATCTGGCCTCAGTTGACCCTCATTTGTCATAATTACACCCTGCATGATCAATAAGCAGCATTAATGATCTTGCACTTTTACTCAGTTATCTTTCATCACTTGCCTTCATTATAAATTACCTCCACGCAGCTGTAACTCATTCCAAAGCAAAAACATTAAATCATGAGCTACTTCCCAAAGAATTGCTAAGTTGAACGTTTGTAACACATTAGGAGAGAATAATTTGAGGTAAATGTTAAACGTATTCATTCCCTTGCTTGCTCCACTAATCAGCATTCAACCCCGTGCAGCAACCATAACTAAACTCTGATAT